GTTCTTCCGACGTCTGATTTCTTTTTAATTATAGGAAATGCGTTTTTCTGAAGTACATAAACTTTTGGGATTGATTGTATAGCCAATATATCCTTAACGAGAAACAATAATGCACGCGTAATAAATCGCAGGCCGCGAACGGAGCTCGTCGATTTTCGACGAACCGATAAACACTCCAATAAATAAAAACTCGTTAATCGTCGAAGCCCGTGGGAATCGCGTGGAACGTATTTAGCAGCCCACGGTTCTTCATTTCATGGATTGGGAACGCGGCGTCAAGTGACGTTCAGAGAGTGATGAAAACTGCTAGGTCCTACAGATTTAATTGGAACCGGTGAACGTCAGGCGCAAATAAATATTCCATTGCTCATACGATTCGTTGCAACACTCAGCCCGTGAAATATTTTGTATAATTCGAACGATCGAACGGTGTAAAACACTTTTTCTCCTAATTACATTTTTATTTTGTGAACCGGTAACGTGACCTGGCACGAGCGTCTAAAACGTTTTAACCGTGAAAAATATCGAAAAGAAGATGCGGGTAACTTTCTTCTACTAAACGCCGTTGCGACTTAACTTACACGCGATAATGCACCGAAAGAGATTGAAGTAACTTGTACACGTAAGCCGGCCGTAGCTCAAAAAGTTAAACAGTTTCTTGTCTGTTTATCCTGTTTAGAACCACGCCGTGACGTAGCTGAAAAGTCCCAATAAATTGGAGTTCCTAAGGCACTTAGGACGCGATACACGGCGCAACATATCGCGACGGCTCGGCACTATTTTCTATGCCACCGTATCCTGTACAAGGTATCCTGGACAATCAATATTTGCCAACAATCTGCGATCATGCTCAGCCCGAAGATGCAAAGAACTGGTAAGTCAACGAGATCTCGTACTTATGCTCGGATCAATTTACCGTACGATCGTCGAGAGCCGATTTACAATGGGAATAAAAAGAAATTCAGAGACGAATCAGTGTGATCCGATTGTATTCGAATCCTTTAACCCGTATTATGAAAAAACGTGCATTATACGTAGCATTACGTATTCCGGGAACAGGAATTTTATTAAAAATAACGATTTCGTGGAACACGCTTTTCATACATATTCTAAAGCACTATTTTTAGTCGTCTCGTTGCACTAATTAGAATGCATCCGTTGCTGAGAGTAATTGAGGATGAAATTCGGGCGATTGAATTTTGCGGGTAATCGAGTCCTCTCGGCTTCCTCGTTCATGCATTAGCCGAATTAAGAGTCCATCCTTTCCGATCATCTTCCTGCGGAAAACTACGCGGACGGACATGCACGAAATTTCAAATATTGGTTTCGGATCACGAAAATGGATTACGCTGGAATTAGAGTGCGGCGGGTGTGTAACAATTCGTCGGAATTTCATCGGCTTTTACTACCTGCTGCGGTATCTCAAATATTTTTCGAAAAATGTCACTTCCACAGGAAACGAGACGATGGGAACATGTTCGACGGTGTCTCTATACTGCCGTCACTTCCGTGTGTATTACAGGTCAAAGGGTGATTTCGTGTTTTACGGTGACGTTCCCGCGGCAATTTCATGTCGACAAGGTTAAACTGCGTTTCTCTTATCCGTTCGTCAAATCATTTTTGTACGACAGTACTAGTACAGTAAATCGATTTCGTAAAATACTATCGAGCCTGGGGGAACCGGTAAAAGCAGACGAAGGTAATTTGCAGTAATGCGCGGACAACTTCTCGACAAATAAGGAAATGTATGTACTTACTTACTTACTACTAAGTTGCTGAAAGTTGCTCGCCCAGAGTTATAGACGGACCGAGTAACACTTGCCAGTCGAGTCACCGGGGGAGAACTTTCAGTCAACTTATCCCGCGATAAAGTGCAGAGCAGAGTCGCGAGCGCAACAAATCTCGTCCCGGGGAAATAGTCATACTGGTCGAGTGTTCCTCCTTACGAGAATTGAAATCGTGGATTGTTTGCCCAAAGAGAAAGGAGTCTCGCGTTTTGAAATTTTCCCCGCCGGTGGTCTTTGCCACCATTCGAGCTTGTTTAAACAGAGATAAAGTCGAGGGCTGTTTAATCGGGGAACGTTTGAATAGATAAGCTGGATTTCTCGTTATCTGGCAAACTAAGCAGCATTAATCGAAATGAGATTTTTGTTAAATCGACTCTATCCCATTGACGATGATCCATCCCACTTCCGGATGAATATCTGTGTGTTTATTTTCAATTTCGCCAATAATCCAAATGCAATAACGTGTAATTTCGATTAAACAATATGAAAACTGCGTTACTTCCCGCAGTTTACATTACTACATACTTATATATTATTCAATTTCGCAAGGGATTAAGGCGTACGAATTCATGATACAATTCGTTGGATACTTTTCAGTATTCTTCGTTCAATCGTGTTTTACAAATGCATACAATTTAACGATTGATTCGGACGCCGATATTAATATGGATCGTGGGAGCAGCCCTACAATTCGCATCTGAATTAACGTGTAACTTTATCGAAACGTTCGTTGTATTCAATGTTAATGCATGCGGACTTGTCATAATTTTGTATGCCGCGTGTTAATTTAATGCAAGAATATTCCGAACGCACGTACGCCTATCTCGAATTCTACGTAACGTGTCACTACGTACTCATTTCGAATTCTGTGTCACACACACATATAGATACGCGTATATATTGAATAGTGCCGTTTCCAACTTTCAGACGTGCATGAGTAAGTGGGGAAAATAAATTCTGTCCGTTATCGTTTTGGAAAAAGAAGTTCGGAACCAATTTTAAAAAAGAGCGTATTATTTCATTTTGAAATCATGCCATGTACCGATTTTATCGAGTTGAAAAGTAAGATAATTACGTCGGGCTCGTTCTAAATTATAGACAATAAACTTTATCAGAGTTGAAGCTTTGTTGAAAACTTTGTAACTTAATTGGAGGAAATATTTGTTACAGAGTTTAATCGGGTTTACCTCGCTCGATTTATCAAATATTTTCCACAAGAGAAAAGGTTGCCAGAGAAATATCAATTTCTATTATAACAAATCGTTCAGTATACGATTGCTCGATGCTCACGCGTTCACTATGAAATGAAATCAGTTTCAAGTTCCGGTTAATTGATCGACGTTACCGTTTTACATCCGTGTTACAGTGAGGGTGAACGACTCGCAACTCGTTATGATGTCGGAGAAAGCGCAATACGATCACTCGTTGAAAGGATATTTGCACAAGCGGACCGCCGACTCGGCCAAGTGGCAATTACGATGGTTCATTTTGTATCAGGTGAGCGATTTACCGTCGTTTACGTATTACGGATTAGATTTTAGCATTCGTCCTAGTCGAGCTTCGTTTTATTCGGCAGACAGTTGCTGACAAAAGCGACCACGTTCTCTTTGATGTCAACAGTTTGAGACGAATATTCACATGCAATGTAACTATTCACTACCGCGAATTAATTACTCGTTTTCGAGAGAGACTGTGTATTTCGAAACTAAAACGGAAGCTAATTCAAGGGATACTTTGTAAGGAGCGGTAAAATATTTCTTCAAGATCGTTATCAAACATACCGTAAGAGTTAATTAATCTCCCCTATTAAATACCATTCAAAGAAAAGAGATACCACCTTGAATCTTTGAACAATTCGGCCTGGTTAATAGCGCTCGTCTGCTTGCACGAAAGGACGGGTACACTACAAAAAGAGGATTTTTTAATTAACAGTTTCGCGTCATAAAAGAATTTTTCGTTCTACGCGTACTTTTCCCTCGAGGTGGTTGTCGTTAACAGCTGGAGTGGAGAATTAAAATTCATTTTACCTTTTATCAAACCCACCCTGTTGTCCTGATTTTTATTTGAAATTGATACGCAATTGGAACGTTCATAAATGTTATACGAGTAATTAAATGCCTTTCTACCTACCGACTTCATTTAGTAGCGTACATTTATATGTTTCATATAATTTTTATAACAGATTTTAATCATTTATTTTCTACCGTTGCATTTTTAACGCCTCGTTCTACCATTATTAAAATATAATGACGCTGTTCTTAGAAGCTTGCGCAAGTAGTTCGCAGGCATTATCACGTATAAAACTAGATGAACGACTTTTACGTGTTGTTCGCGAAGCAAATCGAGAGAGGTCAAAAGGGCTGTTAACTCGAAAAATTGTTCAGAAGCCACTCGTGGCGAGCTGCGAGAATTTCGCTGAAAATGCTTTGATCAACTCTCACGGCAGCACGAGCTGTGTAATGGCTCGTGCAGCCGTCTTGTAATTTTATCCTGTTCCTTGCACCTCGATTTTCCACCGCGAATCGACTTCGTTTCAACCCTTAAATGGTATCACGGGTGGGGTTCCCTTTTACTATTAAATGTTTCATTGCCATTTAATATTGGACGAAAAGTGCAAGAGTCGTTGCAGATAAATTTAGTAAAAGTGCATGGGGTGAAATTTCAATTCCATAGTGTCGCTCGATACATTCATAGTTTCCGCGAATGCCGTTTGAACGAGAATTTTAGGGTTTCAATTCCATAACTACGCTGTTTGTAAATTTGGTTCGCTGTTCAAAGTCTTCGACGGATGTTGAAACATTGGAGCGAGTCACTGTTTAATAGGTTCGAGTTGGAACTAGGACGAAAGGGCGATTCGTGAAACAAGAACGTTTCAACTAAAGACTGATCGACAAGAATATGTATCCGTCATTTTAAAGCGTTTTCTCTTAATCTTCATAAAATTACGAAATATGCACAATTGACGTTAGCATTGTTATTTTAGATTTTCTGAAATTAGTGTAATAATGTTACAGAATATATTATTCTACTACGAGAACGAGAACTGTACGAGGCCAAGCGGCGTTATATTTTTGGAGGGTTGCTATTGCGATCGCCTAATCACCGCCAAAGGCAAGGAACCGGATAACCAGGTGAGCGCATACCAAAGGTTTCATACTTTACCTCCGTGTACATGCTATCAGTGTTGTCTACGTAGCGAACTACAACCCGAGCGATGCACACAATGTTCAGGGACAATCAAAGTTCGCTTAGACTACAAATTCCGTGGTTTCAATAGTTAACTCTAACGATGATCGTAGTTGGGAACACGGACACTGTTTTTGGACATTCAAGTTTTTGAACGGGGACCTAATAATTTTCAATATTTGAATAAACAGTAAAATGGGAGCAGTGCATAATCAATCAAATTGAAACGATGAACTCTTCTATTATTTGCAAATGAAATATTGATTTAAAGAGAAGATTTATTTTCATTTTTTTATACAAAGAGTTACTGATTTTTTGAAAGCTGATGAAGTAATTTATCATTCCGTTCAATGCACAAAGGACGTAAATCTACTGGCGTGAACTGTAATGTGATGAAGCGCCAATGGAATTCGAGAAAGAATCTGCTCGCCATTTCATTTGGAGGGTGATAATTCCACCGGCCCTTTGTTACTAACGAGTACATAATCCTGGCGTTATCATTACCATTTAAATCAGATATTTTCACCCTTCGCGGGCATCGGAATCAAGTCTCACGGGGAAAGATATGTGTGTGTGCAAGTCGAGTGCGTTTTCGCGGAAAAAAGGTCTTCCTTTGTTCGCGCGTAACTACGTACGGCACAGGTGGTAGCGCGGACATGCGCGCGTCCGTGGAATATCGACGACGTGTAATTTGCGTGGCAGCCCACGGTGCGTTAAAACCGTGACTGAAATGGCTTTGGAAAATATCCGTGGCACCCGTGCGACTAGGTCACGGATCGAACCTGACAGATCTCGTTTCAGACTCCACACAGACATATTTGCTGAAAGATATCGATTCGGATTTCAAGTTTTATAAATCATATTTGCGTGAAAAGGCCTTGAAGAAATTCTTGAAAATATTCCCGTCCACGCCAATTACGCAATAAAATAATTTGTCTCATCGCGCTACTTGACGATTTCAATTTTTCACCGTTGAGCAATATTAATGCGAGTAATACCGAGAATGAAAGACGTGAATCGTGCAAAATCCATAGTTCGCGAGAAGCAATGTCGCTTGACGCTGTTCAAGAGAGGACCGACGCGTCCTCGTCGCTTTTTTATTCGCCAAACTATTACGCTTTCGAAAGGTGATACAATTCACGACGGTTCACACTTGGTCGTTGAATTTTCTGGCAGCTACCATTATCGGAAATTTAATCGAATTCGAGAAATTTTTAATGCTCTCGAAATTCATATTGACTTGGAGCTTTTTATAAAAAAAAAACAGGGTTGATTATTACGCGCAGGGTGAAATACAAAAACCGTGATTAGAATACCTGACCTCTATATTCGTTTTTTACATCGCACGGGAAAAGTTTGCCGTATGGGTAAGCCCTTGATGTTCGTGGCCACATTTCACGCGGATGCTGTCTAATCTCAGATTTGTGGTCGCGTTTAACGCGGAGTAGCGTAATAACTGCCATTGCCTCATTTATATCAGTAAACTACGGGACAATATCATAACCAGATTTACAGTCTGTACAAACGCAGTGAATTCAATACAGAAATTGCTCGTATCGAAGCGAAAGGTAATTATATAACGTTCATAATCGTTGTCCGATTGTTATATTGAATCGTTCATGCGATTTCGACGTCTACGCTTTTTCGTTCGGTCTCCGTTCCCCCGAATCGCACACCGCGTAGGTGCAAATAGAATAGAAATCGACGCGTTCGCGTAAATAAATAGACACGCTTAGATTATTTGCACGAGACAATGAACGCTTTGCGTAACTCGTTATTCACAAAGCTGAGCTTGTCACTCGTGGACAGATTTCAATCTGACTGACGAGGAATAACCGACGAAATTACTAGTCGGTCGCACGCAGCAATCAATTGTACGTACGACGTTTCCATAAATCAAGTCATTATGGACGGTCCAAAAATTGTTTCATATAAAAAAATCGATGTTCACTTCTTTTTGTCAGCTGGAATAATTATATCGGTGTCGCGTTTCAACGCTGATCGATCGCATCGCCTTCGTTTTTTGCGAGAAAGAAAAACGTAATCCGGTTTAAAGCACGCTGAAAATTGATTGATGAGGTTCGTTTTACATAACTGCTTTGCATACACCCTGGTTTTTTTTTTTTTTTTTGCTTACCGCTCTTGTTCCTGGCGACATTGGAATTTCCAATGCAAATCCAGACAGCGTAACGATCGCGGGGATGTAAGAAACGTACTTGTGTACAAGGATCTATCCTCATCGAATTATGCACGAACAATTTTCCAAAAGTGGTTAATAAAAAATGAAAGTATTTACTTAGAACTGGTAACATTGTAAGATTGTAAACTAATTATACGTGGAATGTTAAAGCATAAATCGGTCTATCGATTACTTCAAAGGTCGACCGATGGGTCAATTCTTTTTTTACTTTATTTCTCTTTCTCCTTTGACCTGTTTCACCTTTAACCGACGATTACAAATTTCTTAACGCTTTGTCAATGAGACACTCTACCCATTTCTCCCTTCTAAAAAATGCAATTCTCTCTAAGGAGCCTTCTTGCTGCTTGTTTAAAAATACAAACGAATTTCGCCTCGTCTAAAATTGAGTAAAAAATGTTTCTACGTCTCAGTCTGTGTTGAATAATTTCAACAATTTACCGGACTGTTATTCTGAATTAAACCGAAACATTCGTTACATTAATTACTCAATTACAGTTGAAGTGGTATTGCGTTGACATTTTATTAAAACCAATTATACGCTAATACGTCGTTTAGCTGATTACGTATGTACAATATTGGCAACAATATTATTCGGCCAATTAAAAAAGTTCAAATAACTAGTGTGACGATCAGTAGTTTGATCGTCTGAAGATGAATTCACTGATTGAATCGGGAAATTTTATATTCACGGCTTAAACATTGTCGGTTGGAAACATTGAAAAATGAATGTGCTGCAAAATTAGTGTAATCAGTTTCCATAACAGTGCCAAGTTTTAATTGTTTGACGAATGTAATTTCCTTGCTAATACCAACGGAACACCTGGTCTTGCTGTTGACCATCGTGATGGAATAGTCGTGTTCCTACGTTCTCGAATCTGTTAGTAATTTGACTTGAATATGTATACATGGTAATAATCACATTGACGGTTCTTGACGCCACTACGAAATGGCTGTCAATAAAGACTATTAAAATTATAACTCGGTGCAACGAGTTTGACAGTTGCGTTCAATTAATCTAGATCGAAGTATAAATTGACCCATAATGTGGAAAAAGTTCCAAGGATGCATCTGTTAGCATAGAATCGAGGTCACCATTTTAATTTTCAATCGACTTTATGCAAATTTAAACTAGAAAGTTTGCATCTTTAAATTAAATTATTCGCAAAATAAAAGCGTCTTATACTTCTTTTTTTATTCTTGCACTCTGCGTTACTCCCATCATTTTATAATCATCAGTCACGTGCATAGATGATTCGACGAGTAAATGAAATTTTATGAATCGTTGTTGGAAATAACACACTTAGACTTGCTATTTTGTTAATAAATATTTCATTCATAATAATCGTCCTTTTTGCTAAGACAGACCAAAAGAAGTTAATCGTGCAATTTCTTCTTAATCGAAGCGTTTCAATCGCTTTCGAGTTAATTTCGACGCGCGAATCGCCAAACGCGTTTCGAGTCAAGCAATCGTGGAAGAAATCAATTGCACCGGTTAGCCTTGGCGTTACAGGAAACAATGAACACGGGCGGAACGTCGTTGTCGACGTTCTTTCGCCAAAGTGCTCGTCCCGTTTTAACGCGGCATTGTCTGACGGCCCGGCATTGTCCTCGCTTTACTTATTGTTAGGTTCGCGAATAACCGAGGGTGAAACAACCCTCTTGGTTTCGTCTTCGCTCCCAACTGACTTGCCCGCGAGACGCTGCCGCCGCGCTGCGATTTACGAACGAATATTGCGCGTTCCACTTCGACCGTCGACGGATCGCAGGCTCGAACATTCAATTCTTTTATTCCCGAATCCTGCATCGTTTGCGAGATTTACTCAATATTGCATTTAAGCAATTTTTAAACATGCTTTATATTCGTGAATTTTAATTATAAAACTGTTTGATAATTTGAGAATTAGGTTTATGTAATTATGAGGAAAATAATAAATTGGTGTAGGATTTGTAAAATCGCAAATTTCTTCGCTGATGTTATTCGTTCGAATGATTTCAGTAGAGCTCCAAGGTTCCAAATCTGTCGTTGTTCATTACAGATGACAGATGGAAACAGATGAATCGATGGTCACCTCTGACCTTACGATTTGTGAACTTCCTATACATAAACGGGAAAGGTGAAAGAAAATCGTCTCTGTCAGATATGCATCGCCGTCATCGAAACATCTTTTTTGTTACGTCACGTTTTTCCGTTTTCTACTATAATGAACAATCCGTCTTTCAGTATTCGTTTCAAAAGACGTTCCTGTCTCAAGGCGAACGATTTCGCTTCGGTAAAGTATTTCCTGTTCCTTTCAAACGGATTGTCATTCATAAGATATTTTTCAATTCCACATTATTGATACTAAGGAAAATAATTCTTAAATCTGTTGTCAGTAGATCGTGAAATTTCTTCAATCTTTTAACTATTATAATCTCGTAATATTCTGCACATTTCTATACATTTTTTGTTCATAAACCTACAACGTGCACGGTCTCATAATTCTGAACAATAGGTGGTAACGTTCCCGAGTGTACTTTTCATTATGTGAAAATTAGCTGCGTGTAATTGATGCGTGGAATATTTTGGTCAAAATTATGGAGAGGGTTTCTAAGCATCTCGTAATAGGTTTTCGAGTAACGTCGTTTAATCTCGGGCGAAACACGCGATGTATCATTCATGAGTACCGGCGGTAAGGTTCGTTAATTAATACCACATCGTTAATAGTGCAGCGGCTGATCCCGATAGTTGTTGGCAAGAAGTATTAT